TTAATTTCATGTTTATAGGGCTGTGTTTTCTATTAAGTAGAGGGTCATATAAATAATAAAATCACTCCCGTAGGTTTTCAGACCTATAGTAAATGAATGAAGACTAGTACAGGAAATTCTCACTGTAAGACAAAACAAGTAAAAATATAACATTAATAGATACTTACATAGAGTCTCCTCTTAAAGTTGTTTGTTAAGCAAGAATCAATAAAGAGAGAGAAAGATATTAAGTTAGGTTCTATTTTAATCCATTACTTCATTTTAGGAAACAATGTATTTGGACTTAATCTTTAAATATTAGTAATACATGAAGTTTTAATAGTTTAGTGTAGTTTAACATGACTACCTACTAAGACTACATATTAAGAGGACTGGGTGCTATTTTTCATTATCATATCTTTGAATGCTTCTGAATAAGCCATGCTGAGACTCACCACTGGGTAACTCCTCTTGACCTCCATGATAATATAACATCTAGTCAGAGACTATCTGAAGCAAGAGTATTTGCTTTCTAACCCTGAGCAATGTCAGTGAAAATGTCCCCTTGTAATTTCTAGTTCCTGGCCTTATTAGAGAGAATGTTTCTTAATGGATAGTGTAGAACACATGGTCTAAAGTTCAAATTGAGTGCAAATTCCCATATAGTGCTGCATACATATTACTTTATTCAAACTTTGGGCATTTTATTTTATTTTATTAAGACAGGGTCTTGCTCTGTCACCCAGACTGAAGTGCAGTGCAACAATCTTGGCTCACTGCAGCCTCCGCCTCCCAGTTTCAAATGATTCTCTTGTCACAGCCTCCTGAGTATCAAGGACTAAGGAAGCATGCCACCTGCCTGACTAATTTTTTTATTTTTGGTAGAGACAGGGTTTCATCATATTGGCCAAGCTAATCTTGAACTCCTGACCTCAAGTGATCCACCTGCCTTGGCCTTCCAAAATGCTGGGATTAAAGGTGTGAGCTACTGGGCCTGAATGGGGCATCTTATTTTCATTTACGACCTATAAAACTATTTAGAGCATATATTTAATATATTATTGTGTAGCAAATAGCACAGCAAGTGATATTTGCCTTTCCTAGATAAAACTAAAAAGTTTTAATTGGAACCATTTAGAAATAAAGTCAACACAATTAGGCTATCAGTACTGACTGATGATGGTATAAAAACAATGTAGAAGATATCACTTTAGAGTTATAAAATCTCATGGCCAACTAGGAAAAAGTCACAGATAAAGACTCCACAAGGAGATGAATGGATTTACCTTATATTACACAGACAAGGTTGAACAAAATTTAAGTAGTCATTGTTAATGAGTACCTTGCATCATTATTATCTTCTTTCTCTGGTAACTCGGAAGAAGAAAACATTCTTTGTATCTGCAATAAGACTCTACGTGTGAGATCATTTCTCCAGGCCCTAAGACCACTAGTAACAGGGTCTCAAAAATAGAGTATACGTGTACCTAATTGCTAAGGCAATTCCACACCACTAAGATCCTTTCTAACCTGGGGTAATGTAATGAAACTGCTGCTGGTGAAGATAAACTGAACTATAAAGTCCCGAAGCTAGTACTATATCAGAGAGAGATTCTCATTTTGAAAGAGGACCAAAAAAGTTATAAAATAAATGAAATAAATTGTAAATATTTACTATTTATGATTTAGGGTTTAGAAATAGTCCCATTTCTATATTCATTTTGAACTTGGTTTGGACAACCTGAATTTATATTTTATAGTAAAAACTTTAATTGGCAGGACAGATGATGACTATGTAAGCCAAAGTCAGGTGATTTGTGAGAACTAGATTCATAAATCAAGCAGCCCAGTGTGTGTGTTCTGCTGTACTAACTTCCACAGTTACCAGAATAATTTCAAAACTGTTAAGATTTTCACCTTCTATAAAATCTCTGTAAAAGGGTCTTAAAAACTGAGCCAGTGTAAAACATTACATTTGTATATATTAGTGTCATTTTCCTTATGTTTTTCTTTTCCTTAATGCTGCTCAGCTAGTGAAGAAGAAAAATATAAATAATTCTCTGTTTTTAAGACTTGAGTTTTAGATTTTAAAAATATAAAATCTTGTAAGAAACTATTAGCTAACTATGAGGTAAAGGAAAAGCAAATTTAGTTTTTGAAACAGCAGTTTAAAATCTAACATGTTAAGCACAACAAGAGCATAATTAAGTTACCTAATAGATACCTTTTTTTTTCTTTTCCCCAGGCCAGTATGCTAGATATTTTTCATTTGCTCCTCAAGATCCATGCTCCTCTTCGCTTTATCTGCTGTGTTTCCTGGGAAACAATCTATATGGAATAAACTAACGTACTCTTTGCCTTCCAGTTCGGGTTAATCAATGGGAAAACCATGAGAATTTGGAGGGAGGAATCAGAGTGAAGTTAAGCTCTTTATCCCCTCTGTCACCCTGCAGAATCACTGCAGGCTGGCTATGGTCCTCAGCTGAAGGTCACAGCAAAAGTCAGACAGCTCCCTCTTGCCTAGTGCTCATAATGATCTCTATCCTAGTACTTAAGTGAGATAATAATGGCTTCCAGTTCATTTAGCCTCTGAAGTACTAACTACAATAGTCCTTGAATTTTCCATAAAGGCCATGTATACCTTAAGAAGTTTCCCTTTAAAAAAATCTTCTCAAATGTACGTGTGATACTTATTTCTCACAAAGCTCCTTGCTGATATCCAAGTGATAGGTATCCAGGTATCTGGTGGCTGAACAATCATTCTTATCGCCAAATACAGAAATATTTAGTATATCTACTCAAAATTCATTCTATATGGCATATAACCTAAGATTCTTTATGCAAAAGTGATTCCTTAGGAAACTGCATACAGAGCTGGGTGCAGCAACATGTATCTGTTGCTACACCCAGAGGCTTAAGAGGTTGGATCACTTTAACCCAGGAGTTCAAGACTGGCCTGGGCAATAAAATGAGGTCTTGCCCCCACTCCCTTAAAGAAAACCCATATAATATTGGGAAAAAGAAGTAAAAATCAAGAATAATCCTTTCTATGATTTAAATGACCTATAATCTCCTCAGTTTCCAGAGACTCCCAAATACTCTTAGACTCTTCATGTTTACAAAACCTTTATTCAATGAGGTAAATGAAGTTTGGCAAAAAAAAGTTCCATTATGTAGACTTTTGAATTTTCAAACAAAAATTTATTTTGGTTCTTATCCAGTTAACTTTGGCAAAGTCATAAAATACTTGACCATTATCAGATTTCACTAGAATTTGAACTTTGCAAAATCAAATATTAGTTCTAAATTTGTATTATTTCCTTTTCAACAGCTAGGGTTAAAAGTAATTTCCGCATCTTTTTTTATCTTTACATTATTCGTATCTTTATATGAAAAATAATTTTTTAAAAACAAGTTATGCTGGGTGTGGTGGTTCATGCCTGCAATCTCAAAGGAGGCTAAGGTGAGAAATCACTTAAGTCAGGAATTGGAGATCAGCCTGGGAAATACATGTATCCAATGACAACCAAAACAGATCTACAAAATAAGCCTGGTGTGATGACAGTCACCTGTAGTTCCAAATACTTGGGAGTCTGAGGAGGGAGGGTACCACTTTCCCAGGAGTTCAAGGCTACAATGAGCTATGATTGTGCCACTGAACTGCAGCCTGGGCAACAAAAATGAGATTCTGTCTCAATCAACAAAAAAAAATATTTTTTTCTGAAGATTGCTTTTAATTGATGTCACTGTATTCATATAACTGTGCACATATAACATAACCATACCTGGCTAGTGCTAGCCTGAGGATAAAACAGGTAAGTTACACATTAGCTTGGCTTCCAAGAAATTCACAAATCAATTGCAGTGGTAACAATATGTAAAAAATATGATATAAAAATACTAAGTCTATAATGAAGGTATGAAAAATATGTGCTGTGGAAACCTATCATATGAAGCTAATAATTGAAAAGATTAACAAATTTCTACAACTCTTATTTAATAAAGAATTGTAAATCTATAGCCTAAATTGCAAGGTTTTTGAAATATCCAAGATTATCAATTGCATTGTTCCTGAACTTGCTTACTCTTAGAGGATGGTTATTTGTGAGAACTGAGAACAATGAACTAATCTTAGCACCCATGTAATATATAAAACATCTGCTCCCTGACAGAATAATTAATTTCATAATCACGCTTTGCGACAGACCTTGGTGCTAACAAGAAATAAAGCTGTCTTTTTTTTCACATCTGTTTTCTGGTGGCTGCACTCTAAAAACCTTAAGATAATATTTCTTTGTGATGTCAGCAAGGCTTTCACAGAGATGATGTACTTTACCTAAATATTGCAGAATTTCAGGTGAAGTGCTTTGTGCTTAATAATAGCGGAAAAAGTGAGAGCAAAGTATTTGCTTTGTGTTTTGTGCAAATGCTTTCAACTGCAGAAGCAAAAACAATGCAGTATATTCAGCAAGGATCTCTGACTGGCTGCAATATACAGGTCTATATGTGTAAAGCCATGGAAAAAGAAGGTGTGCAAAGTAGGTGTGTAAATAAAATCAAGGAATTGTGAGAAATATAGTTTTTTTAAAAAAATAAAAATCACCTGAGAACCAGGAAATGTCTTTAAAGAAACAGAAGGATATAGTCAGATTTGGTTTGTAGAAGATAGCTTGGGCAGCAGTATGGAGCAAAGGAGAGTGGGACAAGAACAATGACGGTGAGAACATGCCGGAGATAATTTCCATAGTATAGGCAAGTGGCTCTGAACCTGGAGTGGTTTGGTGCCCAGAGAACATCTGCCAAGGCTTGGAAGTGGCCGAAGGGAGTGTTTGCTGTTGGTATCTAGAAGCTAAGCACACTGTTGTACACCCTGCATTTTTTTTTCTTTTTCTTTTTACTTTAGATGCATACTATATCTGGCATTTCTCCCCATGTTATCCCTCCCCACCCTCCCCACCCCCCACTGTCTCTTCCCTTCCCCCTCCAACTGCCCCAGTGTGTGATGCTCCTCTCCCTGAGTCCACGTGTTCTTGTTGTTCAACACTCACCTATGAGTAAGAACATACGGTGTTTGATTTTCTGTTCTTGTGTCACTTTGCTGAGAATTATGGTTTCCAGATTCATCCAAGTCCCTACAAAGGATACGAACTCATCATTTTTTATGGCTGTGTAGTATTCCATGGTGTATATGTACCAAATTTTTTTCATCTAGTCTATCCTTGATGGGCATTTGGGTTGGTTCCAGGTTTTTGCTATTGTACACAGGGCTGTAATGAACATATGTGTGCATGTGCCTTTATAGTAGAACGATTTATAGTGCTTTGGGTATATACTCAGTAATGGGATTGCTGGGTCAAATGGTATTTCTATTTCTAGATCCTTGAGAAATCGCCACACTGTCTTCCACAATACACCCCACATTTTATAACACAGCATCCAACCACAAATAATAGTAATTATAGTGACAAAAATGCCAGTGCTGTCTAGATTGAGAAAAACTGCTTTCAATAGGGTGGTAATGTGTGGTATCAGACTGCAGGGTTTATTTGTGTTCCAATAATGACTATGAGTATTGTTTCATGTGCACCATAAACAGAGTATTGAGCATCTTTTCAACTTTTCATTGCATCTGTATGTCTTCTGTGGGGAAGTGTCTGTTTAAATCATTTGCGCATTTTAAAAATTGAGTTATTTTCTTACCATTTCATTTTAGAGTTCTTTACATATTTGAAATGTCAGACCTTTATCAGATATGTGTTTGGCAAACATTTTCTCCCAGTCAGGTTCCTGTGTTTTTATTCTCTTAACCATATCATTGGAAGAGCAGAAGTTTTTATTTTTGATGAAATCTGATTTTCTACCTTTTCCCTTTATGAACTGTACAGTTTGTGTTATATCTAGAAAATCTGTGACTAATTCAAGATTTAAAAGGTCTTCTCCTAGACTGTTTTATACTTTTAGGGTTTACCTTTAAATGGCTGATACATTTTGAATTAATATTTCCATATGCTACCAGGTATGGACTGAAATTCATTTTGTATGTAGATACCAATTGTTCTAGAAAAAAAAAACTGTTGAATAGAGTACCCTTTTTTCACAGAGTGCCATGCAATTTTGTAAAAAAAAAAAATCAATCGATTGTATCTACATGGGTTTATTTCTGAATCCTCCATGGTGTTATTTGTTTATCATATGCCAACAACACATTGTCTTGATCATACGGCATTGTAAGCCTTAATTATTAACCACAATAGATAGTGAAACTTCTCCAACCTTATTCTTCTCTGTCAAGGTTATTTGGCTCTTCTAGGACCTTTGTATTTCCCTATGAATTTTAGAACCAACTTGTCACTTTTGATAAAAAGCCTGCCAAGATTTTGAATGGGATTAAATTGGTTTATAAATCAATATTAGATGAATTGTTATCTTTAAAATATTGAGTCTTCTGACTCAAAAGCATAGTATATCTCTGCATTTACTAAAATCTTTAAATTCGCTCAAGAAAGCTTTGGAAATTTTAGTATACAGGTCTCGCCACTTTTCAGCTCTTCATAGTTTTGGTACTATTTTAATTGAGTTCTTAAGATTGCAATTGTCAATTGTTGTTTGCTTTTATAATGAAATACAAGTTATTTTTGCCTCCTGCATCCCTGATAAATTTAGATACTAATTTTAAAAACTGTTTTGGAGATTTCTTAGGATGCTGGATATAATCATTCTATCTGGAAAGAAAAATAGTGTTAGTACTTTCTTTCCAATCTGGGTACTCTTTCTTTCTTGCTTCATTGCATTGGATTGAATGTATAAATTGTTACTCACTTTCCAAAACTAGGGAATTTTCCTTATATATTTCTGTTACTTATGCTGGTTTGTATTCTGAAGAGATCATACTTTTTATGATATGAATCATTTCATACTTATTAAGACTTGTTTTACGGTCCAGAATATGGACTCTATTGTTTAAAATTTCGTGTGCACTTGAAACTTCCTATACCTATTAACTTTTGGTAGACATATTCTAACATGGTGAAAAAAGTGTGATTATAATTGTTTATTTGTCTTTTATTCCGTACAATTCAATCAGCTTTTTCCTCATATACTTAGAAACTGTTATTAGTATATAAATGCAGATTAGTATATTATTTTGAAGAACTGAGCTATCATTAGAAAATGATTAGTTTATCTCTAATAGTATTATTCTTTTCTCTGAAATCTGCATTTTCTCATATTAATTTAGGCACTATAACTTTATTTTGGTTATGGGTGGCATGATATGTCATTTTTTGTGCTTTTACTTGTGATCTATTCGTGTCTTGTATTTAAAGGGGCTTTTTTATTTTCCTCCTTTGTTCTTCCTTTTTAAATCAAACCTGAAAACCTCTGACTTTTAAGTGAGATGTTTAGACCATTTATAATTACTGTTATTAAGGTTATGGTTGGAATTAAATCTTCCAACTGCTTCCAGTTTTCCATGTATCGTATCTGTTCTTTGCTTTATGTTTCATTTTCATTAATTAGAAATTTTCATTACTTTATTTTACTCCTTTGTTGGCTTAAGTATAACTTTTTTGTTGATATTTTAGTATTTGCTGTAGGGTTTAAGGTTTATCTGCTTAACTTTGCATTCTACTTCATTTAATATTTTACCACTTCACAGAGTATTAAAAACAGTTTATTTTTATTTCTAGTTCCTCGAACTCAGTGCTGTTGTTGTCATACGTATTACTTTTGCACTTGTTATAAACATAATTCATTTTTATTAGTTTTTCTTTGGACTGATGAAAGTAATTTAAAAGATTCAAATGTCATAAGAAAAAAAAAAGTTTTGTCTGCAGATGTAGTTACCATTTCTGTTGCACTTCATTTCTTTGAGTAGTTCCAGATTTTCATCTGGTATAATTTTTCTTCTGCCTCTTGGATTTCAGGTCAGCTGGTGATAAAATCTTTTATCTTTTGTATATCTAGGAAGGCTATTTCTCTTTTGTTTCCAAAGATGTTTTGACTGGTTAGATAATTCCAGGTTGACAATACTGTAAAAATGTTACTCTGCAATTTTCTTACTTGTTTTGTTTGATCAAGTAATCCGTAGTCATCTTTACCATTGTTGTGTATATAACATGTCTTTTTCTTCTAAGTTGTTTTTGATGTTTCCTCTTCATTGGTCTTTTTAATTAATTTGATTATGATTTTCCTCAGTGTGGTTTTCTTTCTATTTCTTATGTTGTGGATATTTTCATTACATTTGGGAAATTTCTGGGCATTGCTTATTCGAATATTTAGATTTGTTCTCTCTTCATTCTTCTTCTTCAGGAAATTTAATTGCACATACATTTGATTCCATTTAATTGCCCAAGTCTCTGTCCAGTATTTCAGCCTTTTTTTCTTTCTGTATTTTATTTTGGTTGGTTTCAATTGCTAAATCTTCAAGTTCAACAATTTCTTCCTCTGAAATGCCTCATCCACCGTAATGTGTTTAGTGTATTTTTCATCTCAGAACCTCTTAATTTTTATCTCTAAAAGTTTAATTTGAGTTATTTTTATATCTAACATGTTTCTACTTATCATATTCCACATTTTCTGTAACTTCTTGAAAATATGTAGTATAATTATGACTCTTTTAAAATCATTGTCTATGAATTCTATCACTTGTATCATTTATAGGTAGTTTTGATTAATTAAAATTTTATGTCATTATGAACACTATTTTTCAGCTTCCTTGCATGTTTAGTAACTTGTTACTGAATGCTAGATACTGATATTCTTACTTTGCTGGGTTCTATGTTATATTTCCACAAATTTCTTATAATTTCTTCTAGAATGTACACAAAGTAAATACATATATATATATATATGTATGTCATTCACCCACAAACACAAACACATACATATACATCTATATATGCCTACATGTACTTTCATATATATAGATATCATGTTGTGTGTGTGTGTGTGTATGTACAGTAAATTTATTTGGAAAAAATGTAATTTGGTTCTTTCAGATCTTGTTTGTAGGCTTTGTTTTGAAAGACCAGAGATGTGTTTTTAATCTAGGTCAGTGGTTCTCAATTGAAAGTGGTTTTGTCCCCTAGGGGATATTTGTCAGTATCTGGAGACATATTTGTCACTATCTGGTAATGGTGGAAAACTGAGAGTGCCTCTAGCATCTAGTGGGTAAGGAACAGCGATGCTGCTAAACATCTTGCAATGCACAGAACATCTCCCCTACTTCAACGAAGAATCATACAGGCTCAAAAAGTAATAGTACTGACATTGAGACACGCTGGTCTAGGAAAAGGATGGTGCATTTATGCACTAAGGAATTGGCGTGATATGGAGCACAGAAGTCCCTCAGAATCATTTGTGAGACCAAATAAATAACATTTATCTCCTAAGTACTTGAAGATTGAAGACAAAAGTTAGTGATGAAAAAAGTATTTTCCTTGTGAAATTGATGCTTATGATTTCATTAATTTGGATCAAAAACAGTGAAAATGTTTTAAAAGAGAATGAAGGCAGTTTATTGAAAATGAAAACAGAAATTTGTCTCCTCCCCGATAGATTTTATGAAAGTTGGGAAAAGTTAAAACTTCTAGTCACTATATTTATAACAGTTGATTTCAGACCACCATTGCAACCAAAACACTATCTGTGAAAGCAAAGTTATAAAGTGGGTTTGTCTTCTTGTTTAGTTCTTTGGCTTTGAGTTTATTTTATGATGCATATATCACATTGTGAACTCAATTATTATATCAGAAACCTGTTGATCAAGTAAGGCATTACATGCAGGCATTACATATTTTTTAAAGCTCCTCTCTTCTTTTGCGTGTATCTCCTCCACAATTAGTGAAATGATGATATTAAGGAAATTATACAGATAAGACATATGCTTACTATGGCTATATATAAAGTTGTCCTGGTAAAATATGCAGGGGCAATTCTTTCCCAAAAGAAATATCATAAATTATTTTTGGATCTTTTTAATTCAAGTTCATCTAGATTCAAAATATTTATTTTGAAGCTGAAATACAGATACTGACCTTAGAAGACAGTTGCAGGCTGGAGATATTGCTAACACATAAATGGAAACTTGGAGAGAGCAGAGAACATTCATTCAGGCAGACTGTACAAAGGAAGAAAGGAAACGACTGAGGAAAAGAAATCCAAGAGATTTTCATATGACGCAGGAATTGATGGACTGGTAAAATTATTGCTTTTATATAGAATATCAATAGCAAGCCCTTACTTTTCTCATGTCTTAAATTGGGGGCAAAAAGAAGGATAGGACATACTTTCTAGTCCTTTAGTTTATATATTTTCTGTACCTATAAACAGAAACATCTTAGGAGTGGAAACCTATTAAAGTAGAAAAAGGCTAAAAAATTCTGTATGGATTATTTTATAAGGGCATACAAGAAAACAATATAAATTCAGTGTTGAACAATGATTTTAATAAACCATCTTCTTCATTGTATAGTTTTATCCTCTATCTACTGGAAGAAACAATAGATATTTAAGGCTGAAATGAGTACCACGCATTAGGTTAGCTTGTATATGTCAATTCTTCAGACATGGCATGAACTTTTATAGAATTCCATACTTGTAATATTCCTTGTGACATCCTAAAGAACAATTTAAAACCATTGTAATAATTGTCATGAAGAGGGAAAATAGAAGCCACTAGGGGATTCTTCAGGAGGACAGGCTGTAAACCCCGGTCAATCAACTGAAGAAAACCAGAAGCACATCGTTGGTCTTCACCCCCTTCAGTTTTGACAATTTGGGACCTCTTAGTTACTGTTCTCCCTTGACACCTTAGAGTGGTTTGTTCTCTATACCAGAAAAGTAGACTTAAGTTTAAAGAAGTGGTTTCATTAGCAAATAAAGTACATGCTACTTTTCCAAATGGCAAAAAGCATTAAAAATGTAGAAGCAGGAGGAGTTAATGGTTACAATGTTACCATCTGTCTCAGCTTAGTGTGTTCTTACTGATTAAGGCTATGAGAAAGGTTTATGCAGAATGTGAAATCACTTAATTGAGTTTTCTGGGAAAATTGACATACTGAGTGGGCTCAACCAGAATGTGAAAAAGTTTAGACTCAGTAGCATACTTCCGTATGGAATTTTACTAAAAATAAAATATTGAGCAGAATTTGGGACACGTCGTGTCCCTGTGTCATATTAATGCAGGTGAACCCCCAGATTGGAGCATAGGCCAGGGAGGGTTTTCGGCTTTGCTCAGGAAGGAATTCAAGAGTGAGTCAATGGTGAAAGAAAGCGAGTTTATTAGAGCAGCAGGGTACAGCAGAGTGGCTGCTCCACAAGCAGGGTAGTGAAGAGAGATCCCAGCAGCGAGCAGTGCCTGCAGCAGTCCCAGGGAGGAGCAGCAGCGGCAGCAGCACCAATAGCAGCAGTGTCCAGCAACAGTAGCAGCCCCTTAGACTGCTGGCTAGCTATATTTATACCCATTCCAAATTAGATGTTAATTAAGGAGTGAGTAATTCAGAATTTTCTAGAAAAGGGGCAGGGGAGTTCCTGGAACCATATAAGGTAACTTTTGAGTCATTACCATAGCATTTGGAAACTATCATGGTGCTGCTGGTAGTGTCTTTACACTAATGAGCAGTGAGGGCAACTAGAGTTCGCTCTCCTCCCCCTTCCCATCTGCGGGTTTTTTTTTACTGCATCCTGCTTTGATGAGCAGGGTCATGATCGCGTCCTCAGAAAATAAGTCCTACTGATCTCCTACCTCAATATTTGCAGAAATATCTATTATGATAATAACATTTTTTAGTCTTTAGCGTAGATATTTTCCTAAACAACTGAACACATTTTATGGGAAATGTACTTCTTCATACACCAGAAGTTAGGTTCTGATGTGAAGCGGCAACAGTGATGCAGAAATCATAATTATGTTTTTAATTGTGCCAGCAGGAAAAACCACACTGATGAACACATAAATATATAGTTTTTTGAAAGATACATTCATTCATGTATTACAAATATTTGTGGCCTACAGTTTTATCAGCACTGGCTATAAATAGTAGTAAACAGGTGAGCCATGAAGGAGATGAGTAACTAGTGGAAAGAGGAAAACAGGTCAATAGATGTTTATCATTCTTCTGCCTATGCTGTGATAATGAGCCTTTTCATAAAGGGAAGCCAAAGTCCAGAGCTTTTAATTTCATCTGTATCTTGACTTGCCCTATTCCCAGTTACCTATATTTGTTCTTTTGCCTTATTTAAAGTCTGTTACAATATTCTGTAATAAATGATACTGTCCTACTTTTCAGGGAAACATCTATTTGCCACACAAATTTATATATTTTTCTTATTCTTTCTATAAGTTTTTGAGAAAACTTGTTTATGCACATACAATAGCAATTTTTAAGTGTATATTATAAAGAACATTTATTTTAAATGTATCGGCCAGGCACAGTGGCTCACACCTGTAATCCCCTCACTTTGGCGGGCCGAGGCAGGCAGATCACCTGAGGTCAGGAGTTCAAGACCAGCCTGCCCAACAGGGCGAAACCCCATCTCTACGAAAAATACAAAACACATGGTGGTGGGTACCTGTAATCCCAGCTAGTCTGGAGGCTGAGGCAGGAGAATCGATAATCGGTCTTTTTGCCTGGCAGAAGTCCAGGAGGAAAGGTGATTGAGCCATTGCCTGCTTTCTCCACCATCTCCCCACCCCTTCCTCCCAGAGCATCTCTGCAAAAGGGAGCAAATGGATCACAGGCAGGTGCTTACTTTGTTTCTCACTCGTTCATACTGGAGAACAGAGAAGGTCTTTCTTGTTTTATCTTTATTATAGGTGTGCATGCAAGTTTTTACAACCTTCTCTGTTTTATTTCTGTTGTAGGTGTGCATACAGGTTTTCACAACCTTCTCAATGTGTTGTTACTTCTATTGTAGGTGTGAATATAGGTTTCACAACCTTCTCTATTCTCCAGTATATTGTGAGTGAGAAAGAAGTTAGCCTGCCTATGATACATTTACTCCCTTTTCCAGAGGGATACTCTGTGTAAGAGGGATGGGGAAATGGTGGAGAAATTAAATGATCACCTTTTCTCCTGGACCTCTTGGTTAAAAGAATATATATATATGTACACACACACACACACACACACACACACACACACACACACACACACACACACACTGAATGCTCTTGGCAGAATGCTCCTGGCTAAAAATAACTCAGGTAAATGAAATTAAGAACTATAAACTTTTAAGTCAAGTCCTAGTTTGTAAACTCCACTACTTTATATCATGCAACCTGCACTGGATATTTAAACTTGAGAGTCTCACAGGCCCAAAAAATGCAACACTTTAGACTGAAGTCACCATTTTGAAATATTTTCATCTGGTGTTTTGTAGTTCATTAAACAGTACTACAGCATACCCAGTTACTGAACCTAGAAATCTGCCATCATCCTTAGTGCTCATCCCCCATATCTAGTTAAAATCTAAACTCTGTTGATAATAGTATCCAAGAATTTCACAATTCTTTTGAGTTCTATCTATTGTGTCTACTCTTACTGTTTCCTCTTTAGTCTAAATCATCATCCATCTACTTCCCAGTCTGGGACAGTATTTGCCCACCAGTTCTCTGATCATCTACTCTTGCCTCACTTTGATCCAGGTAGTGTGAAATTCATACAGTATGAAACTCAGCCATAATAATCTTCTCTAAAAGCAAATCTAATTATATCTCTCCCTGTTGAAATATATTTGCCTTAGATAAGGACTGAAGTACTTAACAAACACAGCTTACACGTCTTAACAGAGTCTACATCACTTTCCACTTCTCCTTTCATGCTCCATTTGCCTGGCATAGGAGTCTTACTCAAACATTCTTTCTTGCTTCATAGTCTTTGCATGTATTCCTTTCTTGGCCAGGGGAGCTCTCCATTTCTCTCCAGTCCCTCTAACATGATCATCAACACACAGCCTACTCCTCTTCAGATCTTATCCTAAATTAATTTTTCAACAAGCCTCCCCTGGCCACTTGGATAAGGGTAGGTCTCTGTTCTCTGCATCCACAGCACTGTGTATAGCTCCTTTATAGCACTTAGTGCACTTGTGACATCTCGGTCAATGTCAGTCATTTCCTCTAATGTGTAAGTTTCTGAGGGAAGGTCTGGCACTGGTCTTGTTACTGTGTGCCTAACATCTAGAACAGTATATATCTAAAGTAAGTAATAAATATTGAATACAACTTGAATGAATCTGTGAAATAAGCAGAAGACAACAAGATTTCACTTAATTTAAAAAAAAAATATATTCCTGGGGCAGGCCTGGTAGTTCATGCCTGTAATCCCTGTACTTTGGGAGACAGAGGCAAGAGGATTGCTTGAGTCCAGGGGCTCAAGACTAGCCTTAGCAACATAACAAGACCCCATCTCTACAAAAAGATGAAAAAATTAGCCAGGCATGGTGTCTTGCACCTATAGTCCCAGCAACTGAGGAGTCTGGGGATTGCTTGAACCTGGGGACTCAAGGCTGCAGTGAGCCGTGATCACTGCACTGCACTCCAGTCTTGGCAACAGAGTGAGATCCTGTCTTAAAAAAACAAACAAACTGTATTAATACACCAATATCCTAAGATATTGTTACTATATATTGCACGAATACTTAATATTAGTAACTATTTGAACACTGTTAATATGTATGTTTTAATTTTCTACAAAAAGTACGAAGGAGAAAGACATGGCAGTAAAGGTAGAAGAAAAGAAAAAGTCAGTTGCGTAGACAACTAAGGCTAGTCCTCGGAGAAGCAGGCTTCCTAAAAAAATCACAGCTACAGGCAAAATAAAGCAGCCTGGGGAAAACTCAGACTGCAGTTGTACAGATAAACAGAGAAGGTAAGCAAGGTCCAACATAGAAGCTTTTTGTTCATTCTGTGATGAGCGGACTCCCAGGGAAAGACTCCTTTCTTCTTCAGACATGTACATGGTGGGCTCCATGGGAACTCAAGCACTGAGGGCAATGGGGGATTACCAAAAACAAACGTACTGTTATACAAACAAGAAAAGCTGCACTTTGTGCTTGGCTAGAGACATACTCACAACTACATAAATAAGGGGGAGTTGTGCAGACAGCTTTACAGATGAG